TGCTTTTGAGAATGCAAAGCACTGGGCTAGTTTTCAAAATTGTCATATCAGTCAGGTTCTCAGAAATAAAAAAATTTACCCTAAGTGAGTTAAAATTAAGACTTTAATGAAAGAACTCTTAACAAAGGTATGGGCAGAACCGATGAGACAAACAGGGAATATTGAGGTGCTGGGAGACTTACAACAGTGGGAAACCATGATTGGCCCTAGGACTAAAAAGCCAAGAGTGGGAAATGTTGTTGGAAGCCCGTGGGAGTCACTGCCCCACAGAACCTGTAGTTGGGAAAGGTCACAGCTAATGCCGGTGATACAGCGCTGAACAGGAAGGGGACAGAGGAGGCATGCCCTGACCCTGTGCTCCTGTTTTCCATCTCCTCCTGGTATTCCTCCAACATACAGTCCTCAGAGGACACTGTCCCAGGGCATAAGGCAAGGGAGAAAAGGGCAGAGAAGGTATCTGGATGAGCACATGGAGAATAAGTAGTATAGGTTTTAAGGTAAAGGGGATTTAACAGTATTTGTAAATCAGATACCATAAATGCATGAAGAATACTTAGTGGTAACTAGATGGGGAGAAGGCTATGTTCAATTTATACATACCAGTTCTGTGTCTTATTAATTTAAATATGAAATACTGGGCCAGGCGCAGTGGCTCATGCCTGTAATCCCAGCACTTTGGGAGGCCGAGGCGGGCGAATCACTTGAGGTCAGGAGTTTGAGACCAGCCTGGCCAACATGGCTAAATCTCGTCTCTTCTAAAAATACAAAAATTAGCCGGGTGTGGTGATGGGCGCCTGTAATCCCAGCTACTGGGGAGGCTGAGGCATGAGAATCAAAAGATAATGTGAAGTTTGTTTTTCATGTTTGTTATGATTATGCATTTATGCAGGACATCAATGTTACATAAAATTGTGTCTGTTAGAATCTTTGCTGTAGGAATGGACTTTACCCATCTAAATTGTAATGTATATCCAGCATTGTGATGACAAAAACACTAACTATAAACTTAATAACTTTGTTCCTTCACTCCACTAATATTTAATTGGTATGAAATACATTATTAATCAGAGTTCATAGTATATTTTGCTTTGGCTTTGTCCCTGTAGACCTATTTAAACAAGATAATCTTTGCAATTCCAACAACTTCATTTCTAAATACAATAGCAAGCATGTCCTTTATGTGATAATTACAGTGCTAAGAACTGATGGCATCAACCATAAAGAGTGCTAACAATGAAGGAAATAATGCATAGGAAACCCCAAGGAACACCAATATTTAAGAGAAACACAGACAAAAATGCAGCTTGCCAAAAAAACTGAGCTAGATGAACCAGAAACGTAGGAGTAATGTGGTGTCACCAAAACCACGTGAAAAAAAGAAGTGGTCCACATTTTAAAATGCTGCATCCAGATCAAGTAAGATGAGGACCAAAATGGTTCCATTCAGTTTAGTCATAGGTAGGTTGTTGGTGACCAAAGTTAGTGAGAACAATGGAAGCAAAAGATAGACTACTGTGGGCTGTAGAATGACTGAGAGATGGTGACATGAAAATACTAAGTATACAAAAAGTTTTAGAGATGCTTGGCTTTACAGAAAAGAAGAAAGATAAGCCAACAGCTGAACACGGGTTATGGGTGGAAGGTGGAATTTTTTGTGTGTTTTGGTTTTGTTGGTTTTTAACTGAGAGGAAGCATTAGGCATGGTTAAGTGCTAAGGAACCAGTGAAGGGAGATCGGTTGAATCTACAAAAGAGAAAGGGATTAGTCACTCAATGGAGCATGGTCCGTATGAAAAGGAGAGGCTTACTAAGTAATATTAAATAAATGAGTGGATTCCTTGAGAAGGCAAGAAGGCATTCACTCCAGAAACCAGGTAAAGGAATTATCTATAGACCAGAGGTAGGGTATCTCTTCCATCAGAAAGTCAAAAAGGAGGAACTCAGTATGGATACAGGTAATTTCATAAGTGTGGTGTCCAAACCTTGAGAAATTTTCATGAGGTGGCTTCTGTTTTCTTTGTGAAATGAAAAATGAAGCCATCTGAGGGAAATAAAGGAGGGATGGTAGACTGAGAGGACTAAGAGGAATGAAAAAGGCTTATGAAATAATCTCTTGTGTCCTGAAAGGATGCTCCAGAGAAGAGCTCCTTGAAGCAGCTGCCAGCCTCCACAGAATGTACAGTGGCAGGTAAAGGGGTTGCCCAGGGATGGTTCCTATGCTGGACCTCAGAACTGAGTCAGATTAACTCATCATCACCTAGCACCTTTTCTTGTCCCTGCAGGGCACAAATTTCAATACTTGTTCTCTCCTTTGTTTTCTTCACATTGCTCCACGAGATAGGATACATACTGATAGCTCCCTGGGACTCCATGACCTCAGACAACTCTGCCTCCTTACCTGGACAATGTTTCATCATTCAACCTTGAAAACATTTCTTGTAACTCATTGCAATTCTGAGATCTTCCTTACCATGTACATACCCTACCATAAAGGCACTCACCAACCTTTAAAGGAGCAAACTGAAAATAAGTCATAAGAGGTGAGGTGCTGTGGATTCAATGTTTGTGTCTCCCAAATTCATAAGTTAAAGTCCTAATTCCCAATGTGAGTATATTTGGAGGCAGGTCTTGAGGAGATAACTAAATCATGAGGGTGGGGACCTCATGATGGGATTAGTGCCCTTATAAGAAGAGACACAGTAGAGCTTGCTTCCTCTCTCTCTCTCTCTTTCTTGGCCATTTGAGGATCCCAGGAGAAGACAGCTGTCTTCAAGCCAGGAAGCAAACTCCCACCAGACACTAGATCTGTTGGCACTTTGATCTTGGACTTCCAGCCACCAGAAATATGAGAAATAAATTGTTGTTTAAGCCACGCAGTGCATGGTATTTTCGTTATAGGGGCCCAGGCTAACTAGGATATGGAGTAGGCCTACTTCATTGTCTACTCAGCCCCTTGTTGTAGAGCTCCAGTCATCTTTCGGGAGAGAAGCAAAGGCAATGGAAGTCTGCCCTTAACTCCCTGCTGTAGCCTCCCAAGGGCTTAAATCCCTCCACTTTCCCAAGTGGCTGACAGCAAAAAGAATGTCTGTCTGAGTGAATAGCTGGCAGTATTGAATCTGATGGAAACCACGAAGTAAATGTTTCTGATAATCTAAAAAGCCAAGTGGATTTCATAGCTCCGGAATGATGCCAGAAGGACGGTGAGACTTGTTTGGTGTAAACACCAACAGAAAGTTTTTGAATGAAGCCTTTGTGACATAGAGTTCATTCCACTGCTGTAGTACTATAATATGAAAGTGTCTGATATTTGAAAGTAACAAGAATTTCCATGTAACCTCCTCTTTAATGTTGTGATATTGTTCTATATTTGTAAATGAAATAACTCTTCTATAGCTATTGTCTCTGTTCTAAATGTTAACTTAGAAAGATTCAATTAAACAACCAGGAACATGCCTCTAATTCTAGGAGTAACACGGTTCTCACTTGGTTTTGCAGCACAAGGTAAAAGAAAACAGAAAATGGTTTTCTACCTCCAGGTACCGAGTTTAGAGAGTTTTAGGTGCCTCGAAGTCTCTGCTCTTTTGATTTAATGTGCATGGCAAACATTCATTTTAGCAGTAGTAACTTCACTATTACCTATTTGGTCCTAGAAGTCTTCCTCATATGTATATTTACTTTGTTTATTAAAACACAAAGCTTGTGTAGGGAAAACTGAGAAAACTCAGGACATAAGGTTTAAAAATTTTAAGGAAGCATAAACTAGGTACACAAGAGCAAATAAAAACAACAAATAGGCCAGGCACAGTGGCTCACACCTGTAATCCTAGCACTTTGGGAGGCTGAGGCGAGAGGATTGCTAGAGCCCAGGAGTTCAAGACCGGTCTGGACAACATGGCCGAACCTCGTCTCTGCAAAAAATACAAAAAGTAGCCAGGTGTGGTGGCATGCGCCTGTAGTCCTAGCTACTTGGGAGGCTGAGATGGGAGGATCACCTGAACCCAGAAGATTGAGGCTGCGGTGAGCCGTGATCGCACCACTGCACTTCCAGCCTGGGTGACACAGTGAGACCCTGTCTCGACAAAAAAAAAAAAGTCTCAATAAAAATAGAAAATTAACAGTGAGGCTTCATCTCTTAAATAACAAGCAAAAGAAACAGAAGATTAAAAGAACGAGGAAAATATTAATGAAAAGAAATAAAGAAGTGGAAAGGATTTGAGAGAAAATGTTGGATACAGAAGATAAACAAAAGAATCTACATATAAATACTAGAAGTATTAAAGAAAACCAAAGGAACTGGAATAGAACAGATATTAGAAACCTATGATTCAAGAAAATTTTCCTAAAATGAAAAGATACTTGAAAATACATTTTGTGGCTGGGCACAGTGGCTCATGTCTGTAATCCCAGCACCTTGGTAGTCTGAGGCAGGAGGATCATTTGAGGATAGGAGTGCAAGACCAGTCTGGACAGCACCACGGGACCACCCCTCTCTACAAAGAAAAAAAAAAAATAGCTGGGGGGGGGTGGTGGCCATCTGTACTACTAGCTACTCTGGAGGGTGAGGCAGGAAGATCCTTTGAGCCTAGGGGTTTGAGGTTACAGTAAGCTATGATCACACCACTGCACTCCAGCCCGGGCAACAGAACAAGCCCCTGTCTCACTAAAAAAAGAAAAAAGAAAGAAAATACCTATTGCAAAGCACATCATGTACCTAGAGAAATTGACTCAAAATGGCCAACACTAAAATATATTCTAGTAAAACCATTGCATTTTAAAGAAAGATTTGATTTTTAAATTTGTATCTTATTTTAGATGCATGGAGTACCTGTACAGGTTTGTTACAAGGGTAAATAACATGATGCTGAGGTTTTAGCTTCTATTGTTCCCATCTGCCAGACAGTGAACACAGTAACCAATAGGAAGCTTTTAGCCTTCGCTTACTGCTCTCCCTCCTTCCCTCCCTCCTTTTGGAATCCCCAGTGTCAATTGTTCCCATAAAAGAAAGATTTTAAAATATTTTATTTATATCCAGACAAAGCCCAAATGACATATAAAGGAAATGATAAATTGTTATCAGATCTTTTAACAGCAACCTTTTATGCTTGAAGATAATAGAGCAACATATTTAGCATACTTAAGGAAAGAAAATCTGACCAAAGGGTTTTATGTCCATGCAAACTGTCAAGGATCATAGACAGTTATGAGCATTCAGGAACTTAAGGAATATTGTTTCCATATCCCTTTCCGTAGGATCTCCTGGAGAATGAGCTTCTAGCAACCAAAATGACTAGAGAAACATCAACATCGGGGATGGTAGCGAGCCAAAATATCCATTGACCTGTGGAACTCGGACTATGAACAATAGATATAAAGGAGAGTATGTTATGCAATTTGCCATATGCTCTGATAATGAAGGGAGTCCAACTTTGAAAATTAGGAGCTGAGGCACAGTGGCACGTGTCTGTAGTCCCAGCTGCAAAGGAGGCTGGTGCAGGAGGATCACATGAGCCCAGGAGTTTCACACTGTAGTGTGCCAGGATTTCACCTGTGCATAGATACTGTGGGACTATGTCTCTAAAATACAAACAAAAAGACAAAAATAAGAAGAAGGAGTGGGAAATGGGGAAATGGGAAGGACATATAAAAAGTAGACATCAGTCGCAGTGGCTCACATCTGTAATGCCAACACTTTGGGAGTCTAAGGCAGGTGGATCATCTGAGGTCAGGGATTCGAGACCAAAAATAGAATTTTCTCTACTGAAAATACAAAAATCAGCTGGGCATGGTGGCAGGTGCCTGTAATCCCAGCTACTCAGGAGGTTGAGGCAGGAGAATCGCTTGAACCCAGGAGGCAGAGGTTGCAGTGAGCTGAGATAACGTCACTGCACTCCAGCTAGGATGACAACGAAAAAAAAAAAAAAAAAAAAAAAAAAAAAATACCGGGGGGTCAGCTTAAGTACTTGGAGCCGAGGGTGATCACAAGCAGAGATCGAGACATCCTGGCTACATTGAACCTTCTAAAAAAAAAAACTAGCGGGTGGGGGCGCCTGAGTCAGCTCGGGGGGAGGAGAATGGGAACCGGGGGGAGCTGCAGGAGCGAGATCGCCACTGCACTCCAGCGGGTGACCAGCGAGACTCCGTCTCAAAAAAAAAAAAAAAAAAGAAAAACTAAATAAAAATAAAAAATTTAAAAAAACAGGAGAGTAAGCTAGCTGACTGCCTTACAGTTATGACATGGAAATACAAGGATATTACTTCAAATCAGATGCTTGGCGAGTAGAAGAATAGGAAGCAAGAAGAGGTTATTAGCAAACTTCAATATTTCTCATAGTAGAGAACAGAGAATTACTAAGGGTAATATAAAGCTATTAGTATATAAGGAGCCATTCAATCAGAAATACAAATTTTACCAATAAAAGAAAAAAGGAATGAATAAAATAGACAAAGATTATTTCTATCAAAATCGTATGTATTAATTATAACATTAATATACGGCAGAATTAAGGTGAAGTATATAGACCATGGGCATGATTTTCTTTATATTATTAAGGTACACTTAACAGTAGTCAAGTTTGAAATGACTGAGATTTCCTCATAGATGAGACTTATAAAGAGATGAACAAAGTAGCTCACTCATTATATTGAATAGAAGAGGGGTTCCAAATTCAAATGCCTATTGGAAAAAGACACTGAAAGATGCTGGCTTCTCTAAGTGGGAAGGCATTTATTGCATGTATGTCTGTGTGTGCACACACGCATGTATGTGGATAGAATTCAAACCCCATCTTAAAGGAGCAGTTACTAGTCAGCTGTAGCCAATTGTTGGAACTGGAGAATGTAGGCCCAGTATTTCCAGGTCTTTCCATTTTTTGATGGAATCTCAGAGTAATAATTACAAAATTGTGGAGACCTAGCAAAATATTTTTTTGCTGACCACTAGCTGTGGGACCACTTAAACTGAGGTTGAAGGAAATCACTTATTTCTTTATTAAATGATATTGTTTGAACTTTTAACAATGGGCATAAAATGTGTAAGAAGATATTTTTTAAAGATGACCACTTTATTTTATTATTTTGCAGCGTTATGTTTCACACATAGTCAAGCAACAATTCCTGCCTTCAACTGTACACCATGGCTAAGGCGCTTTTTTTCATGTATAGAGTATGTATTATGTTCATCTTAACACATTCCTCTGTCCTACCTTTCACTCAATTTTTTTTTAAATGTAAGATTTTAGTCAAATTAATATTTCCCAATGAGTTGACTGCAAAGCTACTTTTGGAAATTTGTTAGAGTCAAAGAAGCATCTTTCACTGCCAGTGTAATTATGCAGCAAGCTGCTAACCAGTTTATGTATCACTATTCAAAATAGAAAAAGTATATCGTCTGGCTCAAAATACACTTTAATTATGGCAGTGTGTATGATTTAGCCCAGCTGCACCATAAAAATTCCTCTATGATAGATCTTCATTTCCCATATTGGAATATGAACAAATACATTTGTAAACTAAAAAGGTTAATGTCTTTTAATTTTGCATAATACATGGTAAATTCTTAGGATTTAAAAATATTTATGATGGAAATTTTTCACACACACAAAAGACAATAGTATGACGAGCTCATTACCCAACTCTAACGATTATTGATAAATGACTAATCTTTCACCTACACCTCCAACCACGTTCACCTCTCCCCAATTATTTTTAAGCAAGTCGTATTCCTCATATCCTTCATTTCAGCTGTAATGATTTTAAAACTTTAGTATAATTGTCATTCCTAAAAATACAAGTTATTATTAGTTTTTCCTAAAAATACAACTTAATATCATATATTTCCAGCTAGTGTTCACATTTCTCTAATTGCTATACAATTTTTTTTACAGTATACTTGAATCAGAATTTAAATTCCATGCATTGCAATAGGTGGATATATCTCTTAATTCTCTCTCTTTTATTTTATTTATTTATTTATTTATTTATTTTTTTTTTTTTTTTGAGACGGAGTCTCGCTCTGTAGCCCGGGCTGGAGTGCAGTGGCCGGATCTCAGCTCACTGCAAGCTCCGCCTCCCAGGTTTACGCCATTCTCCTGCCTCAGCCTCCGGAGTAGCTGGGACTACAGGCGCCCGCCACCTCGCCCGGCTAGTTTTTTGTATTTTTTAGTAGAGACGGGGTTTCACGGTGTTCGCCAGGATGGTCTCGATCTCCTGACCTCGTGATCCACCCGTCTCGGCCTCCCAAAGTGCTGGGATTACAGGCTTGAGCCACCGCGCCCGGCCAATTCTCTCTCTTTTTTTTTTAATTGCTGACTTTCCACTTTATTTTATTTTTATTTCTTTTTGAAACAGTGTCTGTGCTCTGTTGCCCAGGCTGAAGTGCAATGGCATGATCTTGGCCCACTGCAACCAACGCCTCCCAGGTTCAAGCGATTCTTGTGACTCAGCCTGCGTAGTAGCTGGGATTACAGACATGCGCCACCATGCCCAGCAAATTTCTGTGTTTTTAGCAGAGATGGGGTTTCACCATATTGGCCAGGCTGATCTTAAACTCCTGAACTTACGTGATCCACTAGCCCCTGCCTCCCAAAGTGCTGGGATTACAAGCATGAGCCACCATGCCCAGCCCCTCTTAATTTTCTTTTAACCTATTGATTCCCCCATCATATCTTTTGTTTTACATTAAAAAGAATTTTAGAAACTGGCTTGTTTATCATATAGTGTTTCTTATGGTTAAGATTTCGGTAATTACCTCCTGGTGGTATCATTTAATACATCCTACTGTTCTTATATGTCCTGGAAAATGTCTAAGCCCTGTCCAATAGAACATTCTGCTACGATGGACACGTTTTATCCACTATCCAATACACTCTCTATGTGGCCATGGAAATGTTACCCGTGAAGCTCAGGAACTGAATTTTTAATTTTATTCCATGTAATTCATTTATTTACATTTAAATAGCCACAGATAGCTAGTGGCTATAGAATTAGAAAGCAAAGAGCTAGAAGCCTGATAGGATTGAAGGTAGAATTTTTTTGGTTTTCATTTGTATTTGTTTTTTGTTTGATTTTGTTTTGGTTATTATGACAAAATCACTTAATAGGCAATGTTGTGTACTTTACAGAAGAAACACTGTCTCTCTGTCTCTCAACATTGAAAACTCATTTCCTTGATCCATGAATTCATTAGGACTTGGAAAATTTTATTATCATTATGGAAAATTGAAACATACATATAAGCAGACAGACTCATATAATCAACTTTATGTATTCATCAACCAACTTACGGCCAGTGGCATAAGTTACCCTCTACTGACTTTCCTTCTTTCCTGTATCATTGTAAATTAAATTCCAGATATCATATTTTATTCATAAATATTTCAAAATTCCTGAATATTGAAACTAGTGACTCTTTTTAAAGAGTCACTATTCTCATTCATTATTCTCATAATCATCATTCTCATAATAATACATGTTAATAATACTTCCTTAATATCAAATATATAGTCAGTTATTATGAATTCCAGATTTAAATATATTTGATATATTTCAATTTATTGAAGTTGTTATCCCTACTGGCTATATTAGTCTATTCTCATGCTGCTAATAAGGACATACCCAAGACTGGATAACTTATAAAGGAAACAAGTTTAATGAACTCACAGTTCCACATGCCTGGGGAGGCCTCACAATCATGGAAGAACATGACGGAAGAGCAAAGGGATATCTTACATGGCAGCAGGGAAGAGAGCTTGTATAGGGGAACTACCCTTTAAAAAACCATCAGATCTCCTGAGACTTAGTCACTATTTTGAGAACAGCATGGGAAAAAACCGCCCCAATGATTCGTTACCTCCCACCAGGTCCCTCCCATGACAGGAGGGGATTATGGGAGCTACAATTCAAGATGAGATTTGGGTAGGGACACAGCCAAACCATATCACTGGTGTTCAAATTATCCCACCTTTGGACAGTCGGATTTCTTCCACGATAATCGATTTCACAGTATGTTCTTTTCGTTTCCTGCCCTAGACTCTGAATCCATCATTTCTCCAGAGTCCTGGTTTCTTTTCATTACATCATATCAGGGGATTTATGATACTAACATGACTTATCACCTATGATACCAAACTTGACTGCCTGGTTAAAATAGTGTTTGCCAGGTTTCTCTGCTCTAAAGTTACTATTTTTTTTTCCTTTTTTATGCTCTATTCTTTGGAATTGAATCAGTAAGTCTAGCCCACACTCAGAGGTGGAGGATGGGGAATAAGCTCTCCCTACCTCCAGCTGGAGGAAAAGTATGGATACGTAATGCTTGGAAATATTCTGTAAGGAAGATTTGCCCCTTCTCCCCAAATGATTTATTTATTCAAACATTTATTTATATCACTGTGGATTAATAAATATTTATTTTATACTTGGGTTGTAACCCAATACTGTGTTATTTATTTTGTTGTTCAAATTGTTTCAGCTTTGGCGATCAGGAGGTCCCTCGAGTTGACTCCTGTGTCCTTTCACATACCCCACTTTCTTTCTCTTCTTTTTAGCAATTCCTTGCTTTTTGGCGTTCTGAGATGTTC